GGGGGGGGCTTTGCGCCCAGCTGCCCCCATCTCGCTGCAGAGGGTCGGGATGCCGCACGCTGCCCCCCCCCCCCCCCCCCCCCCCCGCCCCCCCCCCCGAGCCCGCAGCACCCATGGAGCTGGAGCCGGGACCCGAGGCGCTGCTGGACCTCAGCTTCCTGACCGAGGCGGAGCGCTGCGCCATCGCCGAGGTGCTGCACCGCGATGCTCTGCTGCGCCGCGCAGAGGAGGGTCGAGTGAGGTGGGACCCCCAGGGCCACCCGTGGGCAGCGACAGACGCGGGGTCAGCCCGGGGGGGGTGGGGGTCCCGAACACCGTGGGAGATGGCTGCTGTCCCCAGGCTGGGCAGCCTCCCCCAGCCTCGTCTATGTCCCCTCAACCTCGTCTGCATCCCCAGCACGATCCACGTCCCCAGCTTGGTTCCTGTGTCCAAGTCTGATCCGTGTGTCCCCAACCTGATCCGTGTCCCCTGCCTGGTCTATGATGTCCCTTCAACCTCACCTCCCCCATTCTGATCCGTCACCAACTTTTGTCCCCCACCTGGTCCACGTCCCAAACTTTATGTCCCAACATGGTCTGTGTCCCTTCACCCTCATCTGTCTGATCTCTGTCCCCAACCTGATTAATGTCCCCCACCCATGCCGTGTCCTCTCAACCTGGTCCATGTCCCAACTTGGTCTCTGTACCCTAAACCTCATCCCTTCCCTCCCCCCCTCCAGTCTGATCCATGTCCCCATCCTGGTCTGTGTCCCCAATCTCATCCACGTTCCTGACCTGATCTGTGACCCCAACATGATCTGTGTCCCCTCAACCTGGTCCATGATGTCTCCTCAACCTCATCCACGTTCCCCCAGTCTATGTTCCCAACCTGCTCTATGTCCCCTCATCTGTGTCCCCTCCCCAGTCTGCTCCGTGTCCCCCCAGTCTGACCCGTGTCCCCAACCTGATCTGTGTCCCATCAACCAGGTCTGTGTCCCCAACCTGACCCGTGTCCCCAGCCTGGTCCACGTCCCCTCAGCCTCATCTGTGCCTCCCAATCTCATCTGCGTCCCCCACCCGGACCGTGTCCCCAACCTGATCTGTGTCCCCATCCCGATCCCTGCCCCCTTCCCTCCGCCGCCATGTGGGGCTGTGATGGACGAGGGGTGGCAGAGCGCGGGTTCCCCAGCGGCACCCAGAGCTGAGCGCCGCTCCCACGGCCAAGCAGCAAACTGCGCCAGTCCGTGTCGGACCCGATGCGCCTGCGGACCCTGACAGGGGAATGGTTCTGCCACGTCCGCGCCCAGCGCCACCGGAACCTGCTGGGATCCGACCTGGTCCGTGCGTCCATCCGGCGCAGGAGGCGGCCGTGGGGTATGGAGGGTGGGGGGGGAGGGAGGGAGGGAATGGGGGATGGATGGAGGGATGGATGGAGGGATGGATGGATGGATGGATGGA